CGCGGGTTCCCTTTGCCAGGAGAGCAGCCTCCCCGGAGCGGGGCCGCGCGTGGTCAGCGAGGCGCTGCGCACACCCAGGGAGGGTTTAAAAGTTGCCGGCGCCAAGAGGACCCCGAGTCAGCCGCGTTTTTATCTAAACCATGACTTCATTCCTGGCACCCCGTTAGTTCTGTATCTCCGCTTTTAACATGGTTACGGGAATAGCCGCACAGATAGGAAGTTCTGCTGGCGTTTTTAATAGCGTTCTGCGCCCGTCTGTTTGTTTAAAAGCTGGGGAGGTGCAAAACACGGCTCCTCTGTCGCACCTGGGGTGCGCGCTATTTCGCCATCTGTTCCACACACACGTTGCACGGGTCTGAGGGCTGGTGTACTGTTTCCCGGACTCTGAGAAGGGCTGTTACAAGGCAAACTTTGTGTCTTCAACCCTTGTTCAAGGCAACTTTTTAAAAAAGCCCAAATACACGAGCATTCATTCTGTTTGGTTTTAAGCTAGACTTTTAGATCCAACATACAGACAGTCTCACTCCTCTGACAGCCAGGCACACAGCAGGAGAATCAGCCAGAGCCTGTGTTAGAAATTCAGAACATTTCAGGCAGCCCTAATTTTTTGAAAAATCTTCAATCAAGGGTATGTTTTTATTGATTTTGGAGAGAAAAGGAACATTAATGTGAGAGAGAAATATTCGTCAATCACCTCCCTGATGCACCCTCAGCGGGGATTGGACCCTCACAATCTAGGGATGTGCTGTGCCCAGGAATCGAACCAGAAACCTTGTGGTGTAAGGGAGGACACTCCAGCCAACTAAGCCACCCGGCCAAGGCAGGCAGCCCTAAATTCTTAAATTCTTTTTCACCAAAACTTCGGCTTTGTTCTCTATATAAACAGGCAAAGTAACTGATAAAAGAGTCGGTGTGCTCTCATAATTTTGACACACTTTTTTGTATGCCAATCTCCGGTGAGGGTAGGCCCCTTTAGGCCCCCTGGGTCAATTTCCTTCTTTTCATCCTTTTCCTATTCATCTGCTCATGCCCTGCCTGTCGGACCTCATTAATACAGGCTCTTCCTCTAATCAAAAAAAACAATAGTTTTACGATTTCTCTTTTCTTTAGACCGCGAAGATCTTGTTCATTACTTCTAGGGGCAGGGAGGAAGGTGGGGGCATGGGGTGTAACAGGGTGGTGTGGGTTTATCAAGAAAAAACAAACTAGTACAGAAGTCTCAGCTCCTTCTGGCCACGAGGAGGCGCTATGCACCACATTCAGGCCTAAACTGAACAGAGTTACGAAAGCTTCGTTGCTGGCTAGCTGACCTTGTTACAAAAACCAGCCTTCTCCTCTCCATAGACCTGATTTCCCTCTTCTATCCCGGCAGATGCCCAGCCGGGCCCGAAATCCACGTTGCTCAGAGTGAGCCACCTCCCAGCTTCCTAACCTTTTATCCTCCATGAAGGCGCCTTCACTTTGGTTCACAAATTCCTTCCATTACAATAGGTGAGTGAGAGATGCTGCTGGTGCTAATGGTCCTTCTGCAGCCCACACAGTAGCTCCGCGTTCCCCCCTCCCCCATATCCCCAGCCCCAACCCCAGCCCCAGCCCTGTGGCTGTGCTGATCACTGATAAAGCCGGCTCTGAAGGCTACGTTTGTGACCATTAACTGAGTGGCCTGTAGCCTTCCCAAGTATGGGGATCAGCCCACACACTGGGTCCCCAGGTGGAGCCCACACGCTGTGTCCCCTCCCAGACTTGTCCCAGGAGGCCCGGCTACCTCCAGGATCTGAGGCCTCAGTTCTCAAGTTCTCAACTCCAGCTGCTGGGGACAGCACAGGGCTTCCTTTCACTTGGTGTCACCTGTGCAGTACACATGTTCCACTTACGGGTGCACACACCGACTGTGACCTCGCGCCATCCACTCCTTCCATCCCCAAAGCATAACTTCTAACAACAGCATGAGCTACAGCTGCTTCCCTGAGCTGGGTAGGAAGATGCTTCACTAGTTACCAAGTTTAGGTCCAAAGCAACATTTAAAAAGGCAGATGTGTTGCTGCTCAGTTGTCACTTCAACTTTTAATTTATTTTGATGACACTGGTAAAGACACTAGCAAACTGACTTGATATTCTTAAAGAGGCCATGTAGAAAGCCGCTGGCTCCCTCAGCAGGCAGTTCCCCTCTGTTCCCCACCTCTAAGGGTGATCACCCCACAGGCGTGTGGCCTAGCTGCTCCCTAAGCTTCCATGTGTCTGGATTTAAAAAGAAAGGTCACCGGTCAAGTCCTCGATCAGGACAAACGCAGGAATAAAGACGGCACTAAGGTCAGTGCACAGTGCAGGCAGCCTACTTTTATAACCACTTCCATTCCGTTTTCCTGCTTATGTTAAATCGGAACTTTTAGAGGATGACGTTATCACCCAAAGCAAAAGTTATGGGAGAATGTTTACCAACAAAATAGATGACAAAAAAAAGTGTTTTCCCTTAAGGCAGTGGTTCACAACCTTCGGGCCCTTTAAATACAGTTCCTCATGTTGTGACTCAACCATAAAATTATTTTCGTTGCAACTTCATAACTGTAATGTTGCTACTGTTATGAATTGTAATGTAAATATCTGATATGCAGGATGGTCTTAGGCGACTCCTGTGAAAGGGTCCTTCGACCGCCTAAGGGGTCACGACCCACAGGTTGAGAACTGCTGCCTAAGGTGTCAGGTTCAATTCTCAGTCAGGCACATACCCAGGTTTCAGGTTCTATCCTTGGTCAGGTGTATGCGGGAGGCAACCAATCGATATTTCTCTCTCTCTCTCTCAAAAATAAAGAAAAAAAATAAAAACAAAACTGCTGCAAACTGGAAAACTATGAACGAGGAGATGAATATATACAATGAATCTAAATGACACCTAAATGTCATAGGCTGGCCATAGCTGGTTTGGCTCAGTGGATAGAGCGTTAGCCTGCGGACTGAAGGGTCCCGATTTGATTCCGGCCAAGGGCACATGCCCGGGTTGCGGGCTCAATCCCCAGTAGGGGGCATGCAGGAGGCAGCTGATCAAAGATTCCCTCTCATCATTGATGTTTCTATCTCTCTCTCCCTCTCCCTTCTGCTCTGAAATCAATTAAAATATATTAAAAAAAATAAAATAAATGGCACAGGCTGGGAGGGCTCTCCTGGGATCAGCATATTTTCAGGTCTCTCTCGCTGTACTACGAACTCAGACAAATACCAGCTAATTGAATTTTCTGGTCCAGTTGAACTGGACATGTTTATACAGACACGGATATTTTGACTCAAAATCCTCAAGACAAATAATCAGGAGACTAGTTCCTCAAAGGGACAGTTGTGATACAACAGAAGAGCTAAAGGGACTTAAAAGCGCTGACCAAGGCAATTTAAAGAAAGCAAAGGGAAAACAAATATTTAAAAACACAATCTAAATAACAGAAGTGACATAAAATAAGTATTATGTCTCCTTTTTATCAAGTCCACCTACTTTACACTCTTTGATCTGGCAATTCTCTGTCTATGAAATATGCCACACGAGAGGTAGAGATTTATGTATGAGAATGTCTACTGCTTGGGACGCGTATAATATGTAAGAACCTAAGTGTCCCAATGGTAGGAAAGTATATATCAAACTCCTCACCTCTTCAGGGCAGATGCAGGATAAAATTATATATTTCACATAGTCCTAATTTTGCTTTAATATATATATATATATATAGAGAGAGAGAGAGAGAGAGAGAGAGAGAGAGAGAGAGAAAGAGAGA